CTGGGCAACAGAGTGAGACTCCAACTCAAAAAAAAAAAAAAAGAAATGGTTAATAATTCTCCTGCCTTACCCTTCCCCCAAGAAACTGGGATTACAGTTTTGTGCCACCATGCCTGGCTAATTTGAAATCTTAATGTTATGTTCAAATAAATTCATTAAATGTCTGGGTCATTTCCCAAAAAAGACAAAAACTAATGGACATAAATGTTTCTTCTTGCCTTCTTAAATGTTATAGAAAAACTAAATATAGTTGGGTCCATGAACACACATGAAAAATTATGTTATGGGGAAATGTGTCCAAAATTGTAAAATGTTCTCATCTATGAAATACTGATATGTGACAGACAATTCAGATTTGCTCCTAGGTTTTCACCAAAAATTAAGGTTACTCAACAGATGCTGGAGAGGATGTGGTGAAAAGGGAACCTTTCTACACTGCTGGTGGGAGTGTAAACTAGTACAGCCTCTGTGGAAAACAAGGTGGTGACTCCTAAAAAATGGACCTTCCATACAATCCAGCAGTCCTCCGACTGGGCATATACCCGGAGGAACTCAAGTCGCTTTATGAAAAAGATACCTCAGCCGGGCACAGTGGCTCAGTCTATAATTCCAGCACTTTTGGAGGCCGAGGCGAGAGGATTGCCCGAGCCCGCAGGTTCGAGACCAGCCCAGGCAACTTGGTGAGACCTTGTCTCTATAATAAATAAAAAATTAGCCAAGCGTGGTGGCGTGCGTCTGTAGTTCCAGCTACTTGGAAGGTTGAGGTGGAAGGATCGCCTAAGTCCAGCAGGAGGAGGCTGCGGTGGCCGGGAGTGTGCCACTGCACTCCAGCCTGGCTGACAAAAATGAGACTCCAACTCAATAAAAAAAAAAGAAAAAGATACCTGCACACATATGTTTATTACAGCATTGTTTACAATAGCAAGAACATCGAAAGAAGCCTTAAAAAAGTGGTACATATACACGATGGAATATTATGCAGTGGAATATTACGCAACCATAAAGGACACAACCATGAACTTCACAGCAACTTGGATGGACTCAGAGTCTGCAATACTGAGTGATCTGTCACAGAAACAAAGCAGATCTTGAACAATTATCGTAATACTATAAGAAAAAGATTGGCAGTAGCAGGAAACGGGGGGGTGCAGGATTGGCAGTAGTGGGAATCTGCAGGGAGGGGGGAGACACACACCTCATCAGCAAGGGTACCTGCATCATGAACATTTGTATACCCAACCCTGAATCATACCCCACATCATTAAAATAAATTAAAAGGAAAAAAAATAAATAAAATTTAAAAATCATTTTCAAAAAACAAAACTTAAGGTTACTAAGAGTTAAAATTTGAATTAATATATATAATTCTACATACTAAGTGTACCAAAAGATGTGTTTTGATGAGAAAAATTATAAGGCATTAAAAAAGTGTTCTTTATTGACAAAAAAGAATAATTTTGTCAATTTGGAAGTTATTTAAAGGTTATTTAAAAAATACATCTAAGAAGGAAATAGAAGCAAGTTAGAAAGGAACCAGTAAGTAGGAGAGAGATATATAAAGAAAGTTGCAAGTAGGAAGATGTATTTTTGGTAAGGAAGGTTAAAAATAAAGAATAATTTATTAGGCACGGCGGCTCATGGCTGTAATCCCGAACTTTGGGAGGCTGAGGCAGAGGACTGCTTGAGCCCAAGAGTTTGAAATTGTAGCAAGCTATGATTGTGCCACTGCACTCCAGCCTGGTTGACAGAGGGAGCCCCGCCCTCCAAAAAAAAAGAAAAGCGAAAACCCGTTGAGACAGAAAGGAGATTGGTGGTTTCCAGGAGCAAGGGAGCAGGGAGAATGGGGAGTGACTGGTTACTGATGGGATTTCCTTTTGTGGTAATGAAAATATTCTAGAACTAGTTAGTCACGATGACTGGACAACATTATAAATATACTAAACATCACTAATGGTAAATTTATTTTATTTTATTTTATTTTGAGTTGAGTCTCACTCCGTCGCCCAGACTGGAGTACAGCGGCCGCTCCCGGCCACCGCAGCCTCGACCTGCTGGGCTTTGGCGATCCTTCTACCTCAGCCTTCCAAGTAACTGGAACTACAGGCGCACACTACCACACACAGCTAATTTTTTCATTTATTGTAGAGATGAGGTCTCGCCAAGTTGCCCAGGCAGGTCTCAAACCCGCAGGCTCAGGCAATCCACTCACCTCAGCCTCCCAAAGTGCTGGGATTACAGGCTGAGCCACTGAGCCCAGCTGACTAATGGTAAATTTAAAATATATACATCCAAAAAATCTTTTTAATTCACTTACACTAGTGGGCAGGATTTCATGGAGCTTTCCTTGTTTAGGGGCAGAATCCCTGTTTCCTCCACGTGAAATCACAAGAAAATAAACTAGAAATTTCTAATAAATTGATGATTCAGATTTTAATTATGAAAAGCAAAGCAAGGCTGTTGTCAAACCAGTGTCTGCACACACCAACCAGACAGTCTTCTTCACAGGAATCCTTTCAGAGTACTCTGCCTCTAAGACAATGAGGCTTCCAAAATGTGGATTAAAAAATTCAAATTATAGTTGCAAATCAGAGAATCTAGCTAGGCAAGCCTCACTGTTTATGAAACATGCCACTGTCTCTGGGCTTCCCCATCCTGAAGCTGTCTGGGTACAAGATTGGAAACTTTGAACGATCCAGGCCCTCCAGCTTTTCTGGTCATAGTAAAGATCACTCTGTTGCCCTGGCTATGTCACTCACCTAGAATCTACCCTCTGAAAAAGGAAACCCTGGGCCTGGTGGAACTCAAGTCCCCCTCCTGTCCTTTCTAGAGTAGGTGTGTTACACTCAGCTCCTTCCATCACTTGAAAGGATCAGAATGAAGTGTATCTTTACCTCGCCTTGAGGGTACAAGCGAATTTCCATTTTATAAATCTGAACTGCACATTTTCCTCATTTCAGCCATACTGGGCTGGAGCTGGCCTGCAGCAGTCGGCCTGAGCGGGATGGGTTGGCTCTCTCAGTCTCAGGTCATTCGCTTAGGACATCTCTCGTGTGTGATGCCAACGAGCGCTCACAGCCACAGCAGCCTGGGCTGGCAGTGGAAAGAGGACGGAGGCTGCTCCACCTCTGAATGTCGGCATCACCTCTTTCAGGAAAAGCAAGGTGTTCTAAGCTTAGAGAGCAGGGGAAGGAGACACTGGGCTGGAGAACAGGACCCGGGATAAACTTGATCCATGTCAGCCCTTCCTAACTGTCCAAGCCTGAACTCTCGATAACTTGAGAGAGGGCCCATGAACTCGGAAACTCGTCTTCAACAGAACACTTGCTTGCAGCCAGCGTCCATGTTCACACAGCCCCCAGTCTGCAAACTGCGTGAGACCATGCCACAGAGGAGGAAGCTGGGGCTCTTAGCTCCTTGACTTCTTGTTGCATCATTTGAAACCTTTATTGGAACTTGGTCCCAGAAATGAGCTTTCTAACTTCAACCATGTCCTGTCCTGAGGTGCACTGGATAAAACAAAGGCTTCCAAAAAAGCCCTCATACTCACATCTGGGATAATTCCCGAGTCCTCAGAGCCCTCAGGACCCTCAGAGAAGGCAATGCTAGCCCCTGGGCATCCTGGCTGCTCAGCACCGCATGCTGAGGGGTGTCACAGCCAAAGAAGGGAGACAGGGCTTGTTGGTCCCAGGTACTTGGGGCTGAGGTCATAGGGCTTGGCCTCAGCTGCAGCACAGGAAGGATGGAGGTTTTCCTGCAGTTCAGAAGTTTATTAGTGAATGGGTTTGGGCCAGTTGGTGTTCACATGCGTGATCCCTATAGCCCTGGTGGACTGGCTGGAGGATTTGGTGGGGGGGGGGTTGCTGCTCTGCTGGTCACTGGGGATGTTACCCCAGGAAAATGATAAGCCTGTCTCCTGGGTCCAAGATGCCAGGCCTCTGAGCCACGCTATCAGAGAGACTCCACTTTTGTTTCCAGTGTCAGAGCCGGGGAGATGAGTGTTTTCAGGATCTCGGTGTAGTAGGGGCCAAACACCTGCTGATTGTGATATGTCAAGTTGACAAACTTTTGGCCCAGTTCTGCCAGCTCTACCTCAATCAGAGTAAGGCCTCCAGGGAGGTCTAGCAGAGACCGCTGCACGCCAAGAACCAAACAGCATTTGAGGAACAAGTGGATCCGCTGGTCTGTAAGCAGGAAAAGACAGTGAGAAGGGCAAGGGCAAACAGTTTTCAGGGAGAAATATTCTCTCTGCCATCTCCTCCCCCATGTTCCAAGTTCACTAAGATATCCAGCAGCCTGCTCACTCACCTATAGATAAGGAAATGTGTTTGTTTTGGGAAGGGGGCTGCTATCTTGTTCTCAAGGACAAAGCAAGATAAAAAACTAATGGGTTAGTGAATTTCTGATATTCAAAAGATTGCGTAATTAGCCATCAGTTAGGTCCTGGTGAATATTTGACATAAGAGGAGATCTTAGTCTGATCCTTCAGATGGCTATGGTTAGGAGCAAGCTGGCCAAGCTCACGGCCTCCATTCCAACACCGGTTGTGAGGGAGTCCCCACTGTGAAGACATGCCTTCCAGCCTAATTCAGCGTTCATTTCTTGTTGGGGGGGGAAGATGTCACATGTCTTGGACTGCAATCCGAGAGAATGACCAATAGGCTAGGGTGACTTAATCAGTATCCCACACCTAGAAGTCATGAGTTCCTTAGAACCATAGAGTCAGTCTTTAAACTGAAATGGATATATTTTCAACTTAGCATTTTGAAAAAAACTAAAGGCTTACCCAATGCCCAGGCCTTATGTCATTAGATAGGTGGGTAACTGACTTCCAGGGTTGGGATCTGTCTCTGCCCCCAGGGTTCTCACCACCCTCAGGCATCTCACCAATGACACCGCGGACACAGTTCTCCTTCTTGGCAATGTCCTGGAGCTGTCCTGTCAGAGATGTTGCACTGTCACTGCTCAGAGCAGCAAGGCCCATGTTCTTGAGGCTTTGATGGATTTCCTGAGATACCTGTTCACTCACAGTCAGCATAGTCTCCTCAGGCCTAGACCATGAAAAAAAGCAAGCTGGCACCCACTGGGTGGCCTGGCACAGGCCCAAAGCCCAGGAAGCTCCCCATCAGAAGCTAGGCCCACCTGAGGGAGAATCCCAGCCACCCTCGCCACCGCCAACCCCAGCCCCGGGTAGGCAGCAGGGCCCCGAGAGTAGGTGCAATGTCTTCACTGTTACCTCAAGATACCAACTGTGCTCTGTGCACGGCCTCATGTTCTACTTTTAGTAAACAAAGTAAACTATAAACTCAACTCTGGAAGAACATTTCTTTCTGCCCTTGGATCCACTCAGCATTCTGTAGTCCCAAGGACTTTATATATATACACATTTAACTTTTGGGGGCATGTTCCACGGTCATTTGTCCTCCCTCACTGATGACAATGACAGAGCTGGGCTTCTGGTTCCTCTTTGGGTGACAGCCTGCACACAGCAGATGCTCAGCCATGCTGCTGACTGGGCAGCTCCTAGGTACCCATCACAACACCAGCCCACTGTCATTCACTCTACTAGACAATGACTTGTTGCAGCAAGCTATCCTCTACACTACATTTTTTGGGGGAAAAAAAGGTTTTATTTTTCTGGCACAAGCCTCATGACCACTTGTGGAAAGAAACCAACAATCTTTGTAGATGGCTCCAAGCACCCTTCTGTGGTTTGTGGTAGACAGTGAGTGTCATCCATGACCTGCCTGTGTTCTGAACACCTCCTCTCACCTTCTGTTCTGAGCGAGGTCAAGGAGCTCACCTGGAGTTAAAGTCCTCCATCAGGGAAGTGGTTATGCGCTTCAGCTTATCCACAAACTGGGGTGAGCCAAACAAGACACTGCCAGAGAAGCTACTGGCCACTAGCAAGACTGAGGCCACGATGGTCAACTGGTGTAGCTGGGCCTCCAGCTCCTGCAGCCGGGCTCTGTCCATCAGCAGGGTCTGGGAAGCAGGGAGGAGCAGGCTGTCAGGAGAAGAGGGTGCTGAGGGAAGCCCCAAATACAAAGTAAAGCAGCGCCCCCGGACATTCCTACCTCAGGGAACTCTTCGTTTTCAGGGTCCCAGAGAAGAAGGTTCAGGAAGCCCTGGGACAGCACCATTGAGGGGCTGAGGGGCTCTGGGTTGTTGGCTGCCTCAGGAGAGGAGCCGGCCACGCTGGAGGAGTCCGGAGTGTCAGGGCAAGTCGGAGGCAGTGTGGTGAGGTCTGCAGCTGCTTGGGTCAGCCATTTGGTGGTGTGATCAAGGAGGTCTGTGACAGGGAAGGGGGCGTGTAAGCATCTTCAGTATCTTTATCTCTGAGACTTCAAGACCAAGATTCCTTTCAAGATATGCTCCTAAATAAATGCTTGGAGGGTTTTTCTGTCTTAGGTCAGTGTTCCTTCTCCCTCCCCTGGCCTGAGAAACTTATTCCTAAAAAGAGACAGAATCCTCTCTAACATCAGACCCAAGGTCACACCTTCCCACGCCCGCTCTCCCGTTATATACACACCGGGCTGCTTTTGGAGACGTTCCTGGAATTGAGCCCGCTCGTACTGGACAGAATGTTCCTGCAGGCGGGGCTGAAGGCTCTGGATAGTGTAGTTCACCATGTCCATTTTCATCAGGCCCAGAACCTGGAAGGTCCCTCTGACACGGGCAGAAAGAGAATGTTCATGCCGTGAAAGGAAATCTAGTGTGCTGGAAACCCACACAGGGAGTCATGAAGTCACTGCATGCTAGAGTTAGGAAGGGCCTCGAAACCAATGTAGTCCTGCCTCCTACATTTACAAAAGATGACAGCGTGGCCCAGGACCCAGTATCCAGGGTGAGTTAGTGGCAGAACTGAAACAGACAAATCTCTGGACCTAGAAGGCTTAGTCTGCATGGCTTGCACTATGGTCATTCTGTTGTCTCTTTAAAAGGGCCATCAGTGGAAAGAAACACACTTGCTTTTTTTTTTTTTTTTTTTTTTACTTTTTGGGTCTGGATTCCTAGAGCTGTCCCCTCACAGTGTGTGAATTGGGACAAGAGGAAACCTGGGAAAGGGATGCTTTAATTCCTCAGAAGAATTAAGTATTCTTTTTTTTTTGAGTTGGAGTTTCACTCTGCTGCCCAAACTGGAATGCAGTGGCCGCTCCCAGCCACCACAGCCTCGATCTGCTGGGCTCCAGCGATCCTTCCGCCTCAGCTTTCCAAGTGGCTGGAACTACAGGCGCGCACCACCACACCCAGCTAATTTTTAAAATTTATTGTAGAGATGAGGTCTCGCCAAGTTGCCCAGGCGGGTCTCGAACCCGCGGGCTCAGGCAATCCACTCACCTCAGCCTCCCAAGGCACAGGATTACAGGCTGAGCCACCGAGCCCAGCTAGAATTAAGTATTCTAATGTCATACAGTATTATGCTGGGGGGGCAGGCAATCGATCTAGGATAACTAAGAGGCCCCAAGAAGCCATCTTAGAAAAAGAAAAGCACACAGACCAGAGAAGAGAAAGGGATGAGTTAGGTCTCCAGCAGGGAAGAGCCGTCAAGATCATGTCTATAATCCAGTGTTTGGCCCAGGGACAGAGGCCAGTTTTGGGGGGGCAGTGATCAAGTTTCACACCTCAGGAGCCAAACAGGGTCTGAAATGTCTTCTAGTTTCTGCACTGCTTCGTCTCGAACTGGTGTGCACAGCAGAGTCACCATGTTGAGAATATACTTGGAGAGATAAGGCACATCCAGGGCCCCACGTTCTGCCTCCCGCTTGAGCGAGTCCGTATCCAGAGCTTCTTCGATCTCACTTCGGAGGCGGTTCTGGCGTGGTAATAGCAGTGACAGTAAGATCTGCCCAGGAAAGAAAGAAAGGGAGTGGCTTTCAGAGCTCCAAACTAACCCCAGAGGGCAACTCCTTTAGTGAAAGACCGCCCAGCCTGCATCTTTGTTTTATTCTTCAGCTAAGATGGCAGAAGAGATGATTCATTGCACACCCGTTACACTCGGCCACAACTCAACACAGAACTAGTCCAGAATGTCACAGGTCCAGGGCAAAGGACCAACAGGGACTGCTGTGGTCTGAGGAGCGAGGTGAATCTGCCAGAGGTAGTCTTGGCAATCAGATGGCGTGGAGTTCTAGAGTCCTTGAGAACAAATTAGACTGCATGCAGTCTGATAAGCTGCACCAGCATCCTGAGCCTCTGGCATTTCATGTTTCTACTTCTGTGGCCTCCAGGGGCACAAAAGCTGGAGGTTCACTTGGACCTCGACCTCATCTTTCTTTTCTTGCGCTTCTGCCTGGACATGCGCTTCTTCCTCCACTTGGCTCTCACAGCTTGGAGGTTCCTAAGAAGATGGCCTAAGGCAGAGAGACCAGCCTGCGTCTTTTAAGGATCAGGAAGGTGGGGCTGTACATTTCCTAATTATTTTGGTTTAGAGGCCAATGATAAGTTACAGCTTACAGGATCAGTTACAGCAATAGTGTATCATTATCTAGGCAGAATGAGATAAAGAGACGAATAAAATCAAGAAGTGTGGTAAAAAGAAATACAGGGCACAGCAGATACAAAATACATACCATCACATGCTGAGGAAGCGCTCCTAGTTGTAAAGGTAGACATTTTAGGCAAAGAAGCCATTATAATTCACTGAAATAGACTATTAGACCGAAAGTATAAGTTCCTGATGAATGGGGATTCTTTCATTCATCTCTGTGCTTCTGTAGGACACAGAACATGGGAGGGGGTTGGGGGCTGGGGCTCAGTGAATATTTGTTCAACTGAATGGATACTGGGTTGTCATAGCAAGATCCCGGCTGTTTCGCTTCATGTTAAACAAACAAAATCAAAGTTGCCCCATAGTGTCTATATGAATTAATAAGCTGTGCCAGTTACCAGTCTGGAGCCTCTTAGCTCCACATCTGTCCTTCCATGCTTACTCTGCAAAAATGGAGTTGAGCCCTTGAAGTATTTTACCTTTGCTGGTAGGCACAATGTTAAATTTTGTCAACAGCGCACTAAAGAGATACTACAAGAGGAAGGGGACTTCCTGTCTCTGGTGTGCTCCTCTCAGCAAGCTACTCTTTGTTCAATCACTGTGTAGTTTCTGTCTCTTGACTGGACCCTGACTGATAAAAAACTGGCACCATGAGTGAGGTTTGACCTCAGATGGTCATGTCCATTGGATCTGATGAGCAGGAAATAGCAAGTACTTTAGACACCCTAGAAATACATGCAAACTAGAGCACAGCAGACAATCTCCACAACAATTCAAGGGTCTGTCACCTCAGTGAAGTTTCTAGAGCTTTAGTGGTCTGGAGCTTGTCAAGTGATCCCTTCAAGATGAAAGACAAATTGCCGTACCTGAAACCACCTTCTATTAAAAAAAAAAGAGGACCAGACTCAGTGCCTTGGCCTGTAATCCCAGCACTTTGAGAGGCCAAGGCGAGTGGATTGCCTGAGCCCACAGGTTCAATTCCAGCCCAGAAAACTTGGCAAGACTGTGTCTCTACAATAAATCAAAAATTAGCTGGGGATGGTAGTGTGCGCCTGTAGTTCCGGCTACTTGGAAGGCTGAGATGGAAGGATCACCCAGCAGGTCAACGCTGGGTTACTTGGAAGGCTGAGACGGAAGGATCACCCAGCAGGTCAACGCTGGGGTGACCATGAGTGTGCCACTGCACTCCAGCCTGGGGTGACAGAGTAAGACTCCTACTCAAAAA